TATTTTTTTACTTCGGATATCCGAAAGTTTCGGTTACGGTTACGGATATCCATAACATCCCTGGTATGCGGCGCCGCAATACGGCGCCGTCTCGCTCAATCGAAGTGCTGTGTGCCTGCGATGCGGCGCCGGAAAGCACCGTCTGGCATAGTTATCATTGTTATTACAAGCTTTATTACAAGCTTTTTATTATTACAAGCTTTATATTGACTTCACTTGTGTGGGACAAATCTTGCGACTGAATTTAAGACCACTTCTCCACAACCAATTGAGCTAAAATTTGGTATACTTATGTAATTACGATGACAATGCAATGTTATGGTACCATTGAGCTGGTCTGATGATGGAGTCAGGAGGTGGCCATAGGAACTCCTAAACGAAACAGCGGAAACTTATTGAGTTTGGGTTCGTTGGATTCGACTTCCCGAGGACTTTGGTGCTAAATGATGATCAGGGCCCAGAGACTGAGATACAACTAAAAAGTGTAAAATAAAATTCAAATCAAATCAAATCAAAAAGATTTTTATTGAGCCATCCATTAGTCTTACTATAATAAAAAAATAACTTTTTTAAAAACAAGCTTTTTATATGCAGGACGCCGCAGCGACACCGCTCCGCCGCCGCACCGCGACCGCACCGCACCGTGTGGCTTCTCCCTCAGCCAAAACAACGCGTTTAGATCGCGTCAGCAATGGCTATGGCGCGTTGGTTTGGCCGAAGCTTTAGAGCTGAATTACGATTTAATTATTTAATATCTTAGCTAATGCTGAGTTTTTTTTAGTTTCAGTATACTGTAAATTATTAAACTCTTATGAAATAAATATTTATTTTATCTGTATTTTATTTAGGGCTGATTTTGCAATCGTCGGATAACTTTAAACTGAAAGAATGACAAGGTTATTCTTTAGTTAAAAGATATCTGACGATTAAAAAATCAGCCCTTAGAAACAAAGATGGTTGAAATATTTTTTTCTGATCTCTTACTATCGTTGAAATTCTATTATATAGAATGTAGGACACTATTTGTAGTGAATCTGTAGGTTTTAAAATATCTTAGGACATTACATATAGCAAATTATAGTTGAAATCTACAATATAAATACTTTGTACGTACCTTAAGCGTATGGGTAACACTGCCGGGCAAAATCCAAATGAAAAAATATTTTTCAAAAATTATTCCTTAATCAAAAATATTTTTTTATTTTATTCCCACTGCAGTTTTTTAGAAAACTCTACATAACACAGCTAATTATTTAGAATAAGCTATGCTCACAAAATCTTTCATAATTTTTTGTTTTTATTAAAGCTATGAAATTCCTTTTTATTATATTTTACAATGATTAAAGGAATATATTATAGTTAGTATGTATAATCATTCAAATCCTTTAGTGTTTTTGCAGTTTCATATAAATGTACAGATTCTAAGATTGCTACATAATATATTAAATTCTCTACAAAAGAAAATGTTTTTTATATCTTTACATTCAGTTTTTAATGCAAACTATAATGCTCAGGTCATTTCATGTCATGAAAGAAAATTTTATACTAAAGTATTTATGATTTATATTTTTTATTATGACTACTATTTACTTTCGATAGTTCTTAGCTCTAATGTTTAAAATCACTTGATTTGCATTAGAAACGTTTTTAACAGCCTAACCAATAAAAAGTATACTTACTATGATTATTGCTCGCATATTTTTGGTACACGTTTGACCATGAAATGACCGTTTGACTCTAGAAAAAGCCGAAAATATCAACAAATTGACCTAAGACGTAATACTATGTAGATTTATATGTATTATTTTGCCGCTAAATATTATTTGAACCTATTGTAATTGAGCCTTGGTTGATGTCTCTGTATCAAGTAGTATTAATATTATAATTACAATTTTGTGCGAAATTTTAACTTGCGTTGGTTACATCGTTTTCTCGAAGATACGGATTAATTAATGTATAACTTAAATGAAAAAAAAAACACAAGTATAAACTTAAAAATAAACGAGGAAATGGAATTTGAATTTGAACTATACTTGTGAACTGAGACTACTGCTAATCTTTTCGTTAAAATAAGAATTAAAAATAGATAAAGAAAAAGAATATTAAATGAAAAAAGTTTTTATAAAATTAAAAAAAATTTGTTAGTCCTTCGAGAGCTTTAATAGGATTCTGTTTATTTAATCGGATTCGGAAAAGTAATTTTAAAATTAGGGAAATCCTTTTTCATTTATTATAAGGTCGCGTTCACATTGTACGAATAGCCTTCCATCGATTGATCACTTGGCGATAGTGAATCGTTTTATTTTTTCTATCCATGAAATACGAGGTTTAAGGTTACCTTTCTTACATTAAAAAAACGCTACTAATATTATAAATGCGAAAGTAAATCTGTCTGTCCATTACTTTTTCACGTATAAATCACTAAACCAATTTGAGTGAACTTTGATTAGAGATATATTTGATATCAAGGAAAAAACATAGGACAGTTCTATTCCCAGTCTTTTTGTGACTGGCCTATAGCCACTTGGGAGAAGGAGCGGATAAAAGTTAGTTCACAATTAATTTGACCTACGATTTTTTTAAATTAATGGTTCAAATAAACATGCTCTTACTTTATTGCGTATAAGTGCCACTAGTGGTCAAAATTGAATAAAATATTTTTGATTTTGATTTGATTTTAATCCTGTGTGAACGCAGCCTTACCCAGTTTTTAAATATCAAAGTTGTTTCAACGAAATTAAGCAGCGAACTGAAAAATAATCTTTATAAAGAAATATATTTCTGTATAAGTGCTTTGGAGTAATGAAGCTGTAATATTGAAAATCTGATAAAGTTACTTAAGTACCAAATAGTCTATGGGATGAAAAAGGATTTGCTTTTGAGGCGCTTTGAAAGTCCCTCCGAATAAATCATTGAGAATATTTGAAAATCTAAAACAAAATTGATCACCAGTGTTGTAGATAGAAGAGTCGAATCACATCGGATCCTTTGCGTAGACGAGCTTGTGGTTCATACTCATAATTATACTATGGTTTTATACTAACTTCTGTTTTTGTTTTTGCGTGAATTTAGGTATGTCGCAAAAAGACTAAGACCAGAAAAAACTGGGTTCATATAGCTATCATATTATTATAAACCGTGCATTTTTAATCCACTCAACTCATAAGATTTCTTTTTCTGTTGAAAATAAGTTTTATAACCTCTGATGTGTATCTTCATCTCTTTACCAAAATTCATCGAAGTTAGTTTAGTGATTTTGGCCTGAAAATTATAACAGACAGAATAATATTAGCATTGTGATATCTCTGTTATTAATGACATCTTTGTGGAGTTTGTAAATAGTAGTATTTGTAGCACTATCATAAAGCTTTCGTATAGATCTCCTATTTCCCATAGGCCTACATTTAGGCCCAGAACAGACGGTGAAACGCAACTGCAACGAAACTGCAACTGCTAGTTACTTTTGAGTTGCATCTAAGTTTCTGCCATAGCGTCCGTTGAGAGACCACACATGACGCGACCAGTTTGAAACTTTCAGTTTCAGTTTCATTCATTAGAATCATCAGAAAGTTTCGTTGCAGTTGCGTTTCACCGTCTGTTCTGGGCCTTACTCGACTCGATTTATTTATAAGCAGAGATATGCCCTAAATACTTCGTGTTTCCGGTGCGATGGTTAAACCTGAACTGCCATAGGCGTCAAATGGCTCATGTAACGACCTGAGGCACGAGCCGGAACCGACGACGGCTTAACGCACTTACGACGGAATCTTCTCCGTTATTCACTGGCTCTTACGCCATAAAACGTTACGAGAACTGGGAATATTTTAAAGTTTACTTTCATATTTAGACGCACGTTTATCTTATGAAGGTAATAATTAGCCATTATCCATAAGTTGCAAGTGGAAACAGATTTAAAGTTAGTAGACTTACGCAAATCGAACGCACAGAGTTGAATAGAACTCTGTGATTGGTTCATGTGTTACTATGTGCATCCACGCGCACTGTGAGGCCTCATAGTAATGTTTGTGAATACGGACGTTACTAATTTGGTGGTATGTCCAAAGAAACGTTATTAAAAACTATTTCCTCAATCTTTTTCCGCACAATTATAATTAATCCTCATCTTTGATGAAACGATGCAATCATATTAGATTAAACAGTGATCAACGGTTTGTACAGGAATTTTTGTGACAGCAATTTTATTTCTTGAACTGCTAACTATCTCCAAACATCAACATCATCCAAGGCCCATGAACACTAATATCTTGACTGGTATCAATTCACATCAGCTATCGCATGTTGTTATAAGGAAAAACGAGAATTAAACGACATCTTACTCAAGTATATTTTTGTCTGATGTTTCGACCGAATTGCATCAACATTGGCCACAAAATAGCCGATTTGCACAGAGGTTAGGTTCACCTAAAACTATCCACACATTCCACAGTGACCAAATGAGTACAAGCTCTCTCTCGCAACATTTCTGTACACCACCAACGCGTCAGTATTCGGTGTCTACTCAACCGTGAATTGAAGCGAGATTGCGTTCTTTTAATCACTGGATTCCATGTTGTAGATAATTTTAACCCTCTTTTCGAAACTCTTATGCCCGTTTCACCATCAATCCCTAATTTTTAAGTGACCCCTATGGTAACACATAACAGGAATTATGTTTTCATAGGGGTCACTTAAAAATCAGAGATTGATGGTGAAATCGGGCATCAGTTTCTTTTTCATTTTTGATGGTCGAAATGTGAATAAGAATAAGAATAAGAATGTCTTTATTTGCTTCAAACATGGTATAAGGATGTTGGTTTTTACAATGTGCTCATGTTTAGCCTTTTAAAAATAGCATGCAAATCATTTTCATAAAATGTCATTTCAATAAAATATTGTATACCAAATTACATTAAAGAGAGATAAGATGTGAGGTAATTAAAAGGCAATTCTCTTAAGTGAGATTATTTTTTTGATTCGCGTTCTTTCTTATAACATCCACGCAACGCATAAGTTTAAAAGTAATTATCACATGTCATGATTCGACTAGCGTACATTGTAAAGACCTGGCACTGCCCGCCGCTGAGCCAACAGAATGCGGTTGGCGACGCATCGGTAACAGCACAGGTAGGCTAAACATCACTTGAACAGTATCCTTCTGAACGCCCTCCTGAAATCCTTATTGAATATCGTGTAGATCACAGGATTCAGGACAGAGTTCATGTACCCCAGCCAGAACGCAATCGCGAAAGCGTTGGGCGGGATCACGCATTGTCTGCACGCCGCTTTTAGTATGTACAGAAAGAAGAATGGAAGCCAGCAGGCGATGAAGCTCCCCATGATTAATCCTAGTATAAGAGTGGCTCGTTTCTCTTTCTTTCTCGCGAGCCTCTTCTTCTCCCTTTCAGGGTCCCGAGGCTTGTGAGGCTTGGGTAAGGCGGGCTCGAGTTCAGATTTACTGGGTTGAGATTTCTCCTGCCTCCTGTCGGATTTTTTGAAGAGCCGCAGCTTTAGGGGTTTGACGCCTCCGCAGCGGCTAACGACGCCGGAATCTGAGGAAGAGGGTTCTAATTCAGATACCATGTCAGCGTCGATGGCCACGCTAGGCGCGCGCCCCCGGCACTGCTGTAGTTGGAGCTCACCGTTCACGGATAACGTGGAACTTCTGTGCGGGCAGGACGCTAGAGGGTTCTTCGTCACTTGTGCTGATGTTACCACCTGGAAGGTAATGTTTGTGTTAAACGTTGGGTTTCCAAAGTATCGAAGTGGTTTATTGTGGTTTGACACTCTTTCAAAAAGTATTTTTTGTGGAGAAGAGAATATGTAGCCTGAAGCAGCTTAACTGATGGCATTCGCAAGTCTTTAATGATAGTAATTGAGAATTCTCTAACTGGCTATTCGTCTAAGACAATTAGCATGCGTAAAGGAGTGCATCCGAGAGAAATTACTCTTTTCAATAGTTTAAACGCCGGGGCAAGAAAACAAACACTTCACTGAGGCATTAAAACCCTCAGTCTCATATTATTATGATTATAAATCCCATCAATAACCTGATTTATCGTACAGAAATTAAGGTCGCATGAGCTGTCGACATCATCATGACTATCATCATCAGATCATTAAGTTTCCACTGCAGGAGAACGACCCTCTCTAATTTACAAGAAGCAAGAGGGAGGAAAGACCAAATCCTGCCTACACTCCTCAGGCTGACCAAACTGGTTAGGGGAGCCTCCAGACAGGTTGTTTTGATGTCATTCTTTATGAATTAGGCGCACGAGTGACGTTCTATCACCGACAGTATATCTTTCTTTTTACGAAGAGAGAAAGAGAGACAACGTAGTATTCTTTTCTTATCTGCGGAGAGACATACTATAGTCTGGCCTGTGAGCACGTAGAATTTTGTCCAATGACCCCAAGCTACCCATCCTTATCGCTCGCGCGTAATTATGTTGCTGTCGCGCTCGCACACTCACTGCGGGCGCCCGTTGCACAGTCGCGACAGCAATATAATTACGCGCGAGCGATAAGGATGGGTAGCTTGGGGTCATTGGACAAAATTCTACGTGCAGACCGGGCTTTAGGCTGTCACGGTGACAAAATAACCTTTGCGCGCGCGTCTTTTTAGAATTTTTTATTGCAGCTATCTCGCTCTCACCTTCAACGTATCTTTTCTCTCGTCAGGTGGAGGGGGCATCGTGTCGCCCGCTTCACTCGTTGAGATGTCGGACGCGAGGTCGCACGTCACTGTCGGTATTTGAACCTGTGGCGTCTCTATTGTTGATATTTGGCTCTCCCTGGAAATAAAGGTTGGATGTTCTTGAATAGTTGTAAAATATTGTAGGTGTTTTAAATTGTAGATGGAGTAATTAGAATGTAATTTAAATTAGGTGAGCTGTTGCCTTCATAGTATTTTATTTGGCAAGATAGAATAAAAGAAATGATGGCAATTTTAAAATGTGCTGTCATCTGTGCGTTAAAGATTTAAAAGAAACGTCTTAATTTAATAATACTAATATGGAATCTGGATGGAAAACTTGGATGAAAAATGAATAACCCAATGAGGGTAACCCAAAAATCCGCCAGATGGCAATATGTAGACGCGAGGTCCAAATGCTGCGTGATTGGTGGATTTTGACATATCTGTCAATGTCATGTCAAAACAATTATGCAGCATTTGGACCTCGCATCTACGTATTGCCATCTGGCGGATTTTTCAATCGCGAAAACCCTCATTATGTAAAATTTCATGTTTACGTTAGCATTAATCAGTTGAATGGGATTTCTGCCATGTACCTTTTTATTGCCTTATAATTATTGTAATGTGAAGTCAGTAATTATTAAAGTAACAACTCACCCAATCCCGATTATCGATAAAATTAATCCAAAAACTCTACAGCATGCATAGATAAAACTAACATCAAAATTTAGACACAAACACAGCATTCCTCTACTGTAGAACTGTAATAAATTACCTCAAAGGTGACAGATCTCGGAAGGTATGGATGCGGAAAGGGGGCCTGTAGCTACGGGAATAATATCTCCGATGGTTTAGGGCAAGAAACTTTCAAGGAAGCACACTTATCAACCCGGAAACGGATCGTAACCGTATCAACTCGAGGTCAGTATTTTTTGTTTCANCGTGCAGATCGGGCTTTAGGCTGTCACGGTGACAAAATAACCTTTGCGCGCGCGTCTTTATAGATTTTTTTATTGCAGCTATCTCGCTCTCACCTTCAGCGTGTCTTTTCTCTCGTCAGGTGGAGGGGGCATCGTGTCGCCCGCTTCACTCGTCGAGATGTCGGACGCGAGGTCACACGTCACTGTCGGGATTTGAACCTGTGGCGTCTCTATTGTTGATATTTGGCTCTCCCTGGAAATAAAGGTTGGATGTTCTTGAATAGTTGTAAAAAATTGTAGGTGATATGCAGATGGAGTAATAAGAATGTAATTTAAATTAGGTGAGCTGTTGCCTCCATAGTATTATTTCGCAAGATAAAATAAAAGAAGACTGATGTGCTCTAAAGATTTAAAAGAAACATCTTAGTAATATCACAGGTAATATTAACTACGAGTAATATGGAATCTGGATGGAAAACTTGGATGAAAAATGAATAATCCAATTATGTAAAATTTCATGTTTACTACGTTAGCTTAATCAGTTGAATGGGATTTCTGCCATGTACCTTTTTATTGTCTCATAATTATTGTAATGTGAAGTCAGTTAATTAATAAAGTAACAGCTCACCTAATCCCGATTATCGATAAAATTAATCCAAAGACGCTACAGCATGCATAGATAAAACTAACATAGATAAAATTTGGACACAAACACAGCATTCCTCTACTGTACAACTGTAATAAATTACCTTAAAGGTGACAGATCTCGGAAGGTATGGATGCGGAAAGGGGGCCTGTTGCTACGGGAATAATGTCTCCGATTGTTTAGGGCAAGTAACTTTCAAGGAAGCACACTTATCAACGCGGAAACGGATCGTAACCATATAAACTAGAGGTCAGTATTCTTTGTATGAAACTTGTTTCATTCGTACTGCAACGCACACTAACTGAGATCGTTTCATCCACGAAGACGCGCCCCACCAATTTTTGGTCGAGGGAAGCGCGGGGTGCGGGGAGTTTGATCCGAGCAATCCGAGCACATTGAGTGCGTGTGCACTCATGGAAAATTTAGCGTGTATCGAACACACTGAAACATTAGCCGAAGAATGGTGGGGCGCGTCTTCGTGAATGAAACGATCTATACCGTAACGTAAACGCCTCGCCTCACGACGAAAGGCGATACGGTGTTGAACCCTTTCGGGTTGATAAGTGTGCTATGACCTTACTGGGATCCTTTTAAAGTAACAATTATTGTAACTTTTGGGAAAGATCGAGGCTTAAGCTTTAAGTTTTTAACTTTTGGAGAACCAGTTAAATGAAGACTAAATTTAAGGGTCACCGGTGACCCGCGTGGGATCCTATTATTTGTTAAGAGATAGTAGCAGCAAGTTAATATTTTACATTTTATTTGACTTTAAAACAAGGTGGTAAGGTTCTTCCCACATAAAATTTGATAATTTTTAGTTTTGATTTCAGTAACTACTTTTTTTTGTAGATGCATATATAAAAGGATTGTGTATTTAAAAATTAAACTGCGCCTTCAGCCAAATATGAAAGAATTTAATTTAAATTATCTTCATTCCTCTATCTTGACCTGATTTTCGTAATTTTTGTAATTGTTGTTTTTATGCAGAACAAGGCAATCAATATTCAGAATAAGGATATTTGACTGCAATTGCACCTGGTGTTAAGTGAGATGCAGTCTAGGATGGTACATATCTGCCCTGTAAGTGGCTATTCACTCTCGCCTTTGCTTGCCGTTAATTGACAATATTATAAGAATTATAAATAACTTGAAAAAATCGAACTGCCTAAGGCGGGAATTGAACCCACGATTTCTGTTAGATGTAGGGTAGGTATACTTAACATTGATGAAACAAACGCTGGCTGTAACAGCGTATTAAACTTGAAAATTTCGACGGGTTCATCCAGTGTCTAAGTAGCTCAGTTGGAAGAGCAGTCGCCCGGCAAGCGGAAGGTCGTGGGTTCAATTCCCGCCTTAGGCAGTTCGATTTTTTCAAGTTATTTATAATTTTCAAATTAGTTTGAGATGCGACTCCAAACGCTAAAAAAATTTAATAACAATATTATAAGAAGCTGTAATAGCATCGAGTTTCAGCGTTTGCAAACATACAGAGGGGAGGGTACTACACAGATACTAGGTACATTATCCAGACAGATTTTGGTAGAACAAATGGAAGTTATTGTACTTACCCATTATTATTAGTACTGCTAAGATGCCCCAGAGGCATTGGATGCGTGGTCGGCATCGGCCGCGTGCCTTTGGGCGGGTTACTGAAGCTCGTCTGCTGCTCGTTCTAGAAACAAAAAGAAGTAGGTAAATCTTGTGCTTTGTATAGTACCTGTGGTAGTACGTAATCAGAAAATGATAGCTTATTTTTATTGGTCGTTCTAGAGTACAATCAAGGTGATAAAGATTTTTGTTACAACCCACGCAGGGCCCGCATTTAGGGACCCGTTTTTACTAGTCAATAGGGAATGACCACGATAGATCATCATCATCATCATTATCATTTCAGCACAAGTTGTCCACTGCTGTACATAGGTCTACTAATGATTTCCAGATTGGCCGGTTGACAGCTGCCTGTTTCCAGCGCTTTTCTTCTACCTTTATGAGGTCGTCTCTCGTACGTCCACGGTAGATAAGTGATAGAACATTCAACGCACGTTTCCTTTGGCAGTCGCTTTAAGAGATTGTCTTTGATCAGACTTTCTAGTACGCTTGATGTCGACAGACGATTTTTATTGGTACGATAATACGAAAATGGATTATTAAGGACACGTTTGTTACTGATACTAAGAAGAGTTTATTATGTCTCTTTAATTAGATAGTAACGTAAAATTTCTTACTACAGCGGCTCGGTTCTGGTACACTTGCGCGAAAGACACCAGCGCGAAAGACATTAGCGCGAAGACTAAGAAGCCAGTTTCTTTGCGCTATTGTCTTTCGGCTTTTCGGGCTAGTTTCTTTGCGGCGATGACTTTCGCGCTAGTGTCTTTCGCGCAAGTGTCCCGAAACGCAGCGGCTCGCTAGCAGTTTGACGGTCGAAACATACCTAATTGGATCCCGGTGTCACCTCTTAGAAACCCCCAAAAAAACTAGATATTCTAAAAATCTAGACTCACCGGCCTAGGCCTCGGGTTTTTCCTGATGCCTCGCCTCGCGCGCGCCTTCGCCGCGAAGTATATCCTGATGTAGACGAACACCATGATGCACGAGGGTATGTAGAAGCTGCCTAGCGCCGAGTATACCACGTAGCCGATGTCGTCTGACACCTGGGGACGAGGAGAGAGGTTAGAGTAAAACTAATTTTATATTAGAAGGTAAGGTTACCCTACCACTACTTCGGAACAACATATTATTATGGGCTAGTGCTAAGTAGAAGTGGCGAAATATTCAGTCACTTTTGTCAGCCTATTTTTCAATTAATAGTCACAGGAAATATCACATTAATATTGGACAAACTAGTCAGGTAGGTAATGATTTCGGAAGTCACATAAATTGTTAAATAACATTTAAATTTCCTGTCAACACTGCATTGCTTCTGTTTTACTGCGTAGTATGCCTATAGTATGCCTATAGGTTACCTAATTATTTAATAAAATATATGAATAAAGTAGACTCTTTAACTTACACTTCACCTTTTTGCAATTATTGTAAAGTCAATGTTATTAATGCGAATTTCGCATATTTTAATTGGTCTGGCATCGTTTTCGTTTCATTAGTAAGGGCAGTTTTCGTATAAAATATTCACAATAGCAATTTTCGGGCAACTACTATTTATTTAGGATTGGCAAATGAATCTCAAACGTATTGAATAGGTACTAGAAAGTCGTGATTTCAAGTTATGCAACTATAGAATATGTATTTAGAAAGTCGGTTTATTTATTTAATACATTTTAAAGTCCAGACCAATTTTGATAAGGCTAGATTGGAAGTTAAAGAAAGAGATCAAGTGTTTAAAGAAAACGGAAGGCGCATCTGCAGTTTAGTGGTAAGATCAACTGACTCAGACCTAGAGGTTCCGGGTTCGATTGCCAATGGGGTCAAAATGTTCTTCTCGGTTTAGTTGTTTGTGTAGGACGTATTATAAGTCCGCTTGGCTAGCTACCACCATCTTGCCTATCGTGTACCTATAATAGTAAACGGTCTGTTCATCACTTTCCACTAACTGAAATGCAGACCAAAAGACATAATTACGACAAGCATAATAAGTATCATCCTAGACAGCATCTCATATAACGATTGTGGTTAAATTACCTGCTTTGTTCTGCATGAAAAAAGTTAGAAAACCTTAAGTCAAAACTGCCTTAACTTCGTAATTTCCCTTCGTTTAAGCTCTGACCTGACNTGACCTGTACTCAAACCCTTATCATCACCTGTCGAGTGGTCGTTTGTTCTGCGGAATTATACCTCAAATTGTATGCAGAATCGACACTCATGAGATGATCCGATAAGGAAAGTATGCTAATAAGTGGACAGAGACGGATCTAGGGATTAGGGGCCCGAGTAAACAGAAGAAAGGTTTGGAAGAGCCCCTTACAATTAGTAAGATGATCATTATTTTTGAACTTGAACAGCTTGAATTCCTTAAAGATAGATTATTGTAGACCACGCAAAACAGGAAAAAATGCACTAATAAAGAAATCGCTACCAATCAACGTGGAAAGCATTAGGGGAGGCCTGTGTTTAGCAGTGGACGTCCTATGGCTGAAATGATGATGATGATGATGGTGATGAAAGAAATCGCACAATAATTTAGGCGGTTATGATCGTTTTGGAGCGATCGATTCCAGACAACCTAGGTCTAAAGTTTTAAAGTCATACTACTTAAGTTTTTTTACTGCTACATACGATGTTCTTTCAGGGATGTAATTAGGCAAGAATCTTATTGAAAACACTTTTAAATTGATCTAGCCCTATCGAAGAATATTTTGTTTAATTTACAGTTAACTTTAGTTTAACAAGTGGCTTGAGGACCTTTTATAAAACCTAGTATGGCTCTGTAAATCGGTTTTAAGCACACGGTAATACGTTATACCGCTGTCTGACCCATTCGACACGTGGGTGATTGAAAATTTCCTCTTTTCACGCATAACCTCACCTTTGTGGTCTAATTGAAGAGTGTTATAACGTGGTTTATATTAAGATATGACTATTATCGTTATCTGGCAAAAAGTAACAAAGAACCTGAATAAAGAAAGTTTGTAAAGTGATTGGAAGACCATAAAATACTAGCTGATGGAGCAAACTTCGTATCACCTATGTTCATTAGAAATATGCACATTGCATGCACAAAATTATCGGTCCAGTTGTTTTGGAGCCTATTCAATCTTTCGTTCGTTCTTTTCGGCCGAAAGACGTCTACTGCTGGAGACCTTAACAAGGATTTCCACAAAGAACGGTCCTCCGCCGCTCGCATCCAGGCACCTCACTCGACCTTAGCCAGATCGTCGGTCCACCTAGTGGGAGGTCTGCCCACGCTATGTCTTCCGGTTCGTGGTCGCCACTCAAGAACTTTCCTGCCCCAGCGGCCATGAGCTCTACGAGGTATGTGCTCCGCCCACTGCCACTTGATTTTAGTGATTCTGTCTATTCAGTACAAAGAATTAAATCTTTCTGCTTTATAATATTAGTGCAGGTAATTGTAAAGTCTGACACCAGTCTGTATTGTTCCCGCAGTTGTAACAACCCACACGATAGAAGAACCTCCCATTATTCAACGTCGAAAATGGCTATATTTCAAAAAGGATAATGAACTCTAAAGACGTCTTAATCCTTGGACCGGCGTCGCGTTTTGAAAGTTCTTTTCAAGGAATTTAATCTTTGCGACCATTGTCCGGCCTGAAATATTGGCCGAGATGAGATATGTTCCGGACGCTAACAATTGCCGGACACAATGGCGGTTTAGGTTTCAAGATATACTCATCTTGATTAGAATATGGAGACTTTAGAGATATTTAAAGATAAATCTGGCTTCTTAAAACATTAGTCTCATTGGAAATTAATGACTCCCATGTTTTTTCAAGACGTCTACGTATTCCAGTAACACATTTTCCGCAGCAAAATGATGTTAAATAGGTCTAATTAATTATACTCTCTAATATCTCTCTGTCTAATAGGGGTTAGATGAAATAAAATATTTCACCTAACCTAAGCAAAATCTTGATGTGGGTAGGTACCAAAAAACAAATATTGTCTAGTAGGTTTCTTATATGTGCAACGCCCCTGACTAAATTAGTGTGAACTAGCCGGCAAACCCTTGGGGGAGGTCTTTCTCCAGCAGTGGACGTCATTTGGCTGAAACGAGCGTACGGACGAATAATAAATCCCTTAGAGAACTTACAACTAGCAGTTTTCTCGTAGATGCAAAGAAGAACGGTTTTCCTAATAAGCACTTATTACGCTAATTGATTACTCAATAACATCACAATAAGATTCAATATGTTTCAACACTCTGTAAATGGCATTTACGAACAGCCTTCACATCCACAGCTTCGGACCGTATGCTCCTTGATCTAAGGGTTTTAATTAAGAGCACTCTTATAAATGCCATAACCTTCCCACGTCTATGCACGGGTCTGTAAGACCATTACACCATGAATTAGAATTTAGTTATTTTGTTTACAATCTTAAATGAAAGTATGTGCTTATAATAATTTGTTAACTGTAATAAGCACGGCGTGGGACGTCCACCTGCAACGTGGACCCGACGATCTAATAAAGGTAGCAGGAAGGCGCTGGATGTAGGCCGCTACCAACCGGGCGATGTGGAAGTCATTGGGGGAGGCCTATATTCAGCAGTGGACGTCCTGTGGCTGACATGATGATGATGACGATGATGAAAAGCTACGGCACATCAAACTAAACACATATTAATTCTGAATTCTCTGATAGATGATATTTTTCAGGCAATAAATTAATTAATTTAGTCTTATGTGCTGTCGAGACTAAGGAACTTTTTCTTTTAGCCTTTACATTTTTAGAATTAAGTTATATTACAAACTACCATAGACCATAATATTACTACGTTCAGATTGATATGTAGATTCTGTCCTGATTTTTTTTGTATAAATATTGAAATTCAACCAATCAAAGGACTCAAAGTTAACTATGGTTTATTGCGTTCTGAAATAACACCTAAGGAAGAGGAATTTGGTCTTAGAGACCAGCATTTGTGCACGCATTACTTTTTAGGCTTGTGAGTATAGGAAAGGTTAGATACAATGACGTCATCTTATACAAAATTACACTCTATTGCATTGAATTAAGAGTGTTGAAAAAGACCCACCGAAGTCTCTTGTACAATCTAAAATAACGTAATTATTTTGGACTCTATTTCACATAGTATTAAGGGCGACAATTTTCCAGATATTCCAAGACAATAGCTTTCAATGGGTATTAGGGCGATGTAGGGATGTTTTCTTGGGTGGTTAATTAAAAAAAGACAAGTGCTTATTAAAGTCGTTTGTGTTTTATCTTTTGTGTTAATGATCCGGAGTAATGATGTTAATAAATTTTGGGACAGTCAACTGAGTGGTGAGGTATTGTGTTGCAAAAGTTGCGGTTCAGTACAAATATACAGGGTGTCTTTGTCTAGTAGTGGACGTCATTCGGCTGAAACGAACGAACGAATGATACAGGCTGTTATAATGAAACTAGAGAATACCTTCATTCATTATGTATGGTACTATTACAATCTATTCAATACAGTCAGCTTTAAATGGTTCAAACTTTTTAGTGTCCCAAAGTAGCCAAACATATCGAAAAAGGTCTTTTTCAGAGGTCAATTTTTGGCAACTTTGTGTGTCATGAGTTATTTGACGCTGACTGTACATGTTTACCTACATGGCAAGTTTTTACATAACTATTAGTAAAAGCTTAAAAATTCCTAAAGTTTTCAATATTATATGACATTTCTTCAAAGATGGTGTGAAAGTTAATGCTTATCAATCTTTCCTATTCCAATTTGATGTACAATTAATATCCTGTAGAATCGGCCGCCATTAGTTCGCTAAACTTAACCAAAAATGATTTTACTTAAAAATACAGTCAGTAGTTGGTATCACAGTTCCAATTACTCCATCCTGGACCCCTTAAATGGGGTACTATTTCCACACGAGCAAAAAGGTACAGTCCAAAACACATCTCCAATTAGTTAAAACATCAAATGATATCGAATTCGAGTCCTTTCGGGGGCAAAATAGCGGAATCGAATTCACTTACTGAACACCGATCGGTCCCCTCACTAAGCCATAGGAACGCCATTCTCGACCTACCCCCAATTGTAATTGAGGCCATATTCCTTTATTACGTTACGGCGATTACTTTCGAAGAAGGCCGTTGGGGTCTAGTGATGTACAGATTTTTATTTAACGATGTAGTTTCTGCAAATGGAAATTATTGTGTTAAAAAGATTGACGAATTCTCGAAGATACGGGCAACAAAACTAAGATCTCATTTACAGGTAAAAATAACTAATTACGTCGCTAGAAAGCTTTCGAAAGACCATTGAGTCGTCAGAAATAAAATCTTTGAAATTAGGCACAAAAACGCGGCGTTGAAGCAATTTTGGATTAAAACTGTCTAGCTAGAGTGCTATTTAGTGACGTTCAGTCCCCCCTGTTCAAAGTAACCTTCATGACAGAACCAATTACAAGATCGCTTAATGGACCTAAGTAGCTAAAAATATCCAGTGCAAAGCCATTTCGAAATTGGCCACTGCCACGAGTGTTAATTTGATTAGGGGTGTTGTAGCTACAACTCTGAAAAAAATGTTTGGTTACTGCTTACACAACAAAAGTCACCACCGAACTAAGTGTTAACTATAACCAAACTAAGTGTAGCTCACTACAAAATTATTTGTTTAATAAATTAAATGTTGTGTNATTTACACAACATTTTGTTCCTCATAACCAAAGTGTTCGGTGGTCACTTTTGTTGTGTAAGCAGTAACCAAAAATGTGTAGTGTGCAGCAGTGAAGACAAAACATCGATAAGTGAAGTTCCCATCACTATTAGCTAGTCGTTTTCGGTGGATGATGATGCGGGCCCGACGACGTTTGAGAGCGAGTGAATATTCGACCTCTTTTACTCGTACAGCTGGAATTACTCTGT